AAAATGGAACAATCATAAAATCCTCCCCCGCTTACTTGATACACTTCCCCATGTACCCGCACAGTCTCAAGTACTGATCTCTGAAGGTCATCTCAGTGATGTGGAACAATAAAAGCAGAGCAAAGTGCAGCTCACCCTTGTGCCTGCGGCAAAGGAGTATTTATTTGAACATTAATTCCTCTTAAAAAGTTATTAAGTGTTTTAAGGATCAAGCTCAAAGTCTTGTGATAGGTTCAGTGTATCTCTTTTACAATAACAGAGGTTATTAAAGCTTGAAACCCTTTAGGTTGTTTTTGGCTCCCCTCCAGTTTTATCTCTTTTTACAGAGCTTTATTGGAAACCGTGAAATGAATTGAATCAAGACGAGGTTCTGGTACTAGTACGTCATCTTCTACTGCTTCTATATAGCCTCTACGTCTGTTATTTCACAAGAACAAAAAATGTGTTTTTCAAGCGACATGCAGATCTTTTTAAGAATGTCTCGGATGAAATCTTTGTGCCACTAACTGCACTTCAAAATTTTAACTTGCGCCGATTGATTGGGACGTTGGGACGGCATCAAAAGCTTGATACGGAAAGCTGTTGTATACTTACACATCCAGCAGACAAAAAGCAATATTAGCTTTTATTTAGACTTGTGTTTTTGGACATCTGGTGAATGGAAGTCAAATGTTCAACATTGTCCAACATTAACTGACTCTTTAGCTGCTTAATGCTCCACTACGTTTACCAGCTAATTGCTAATTGTCTGCTCGCTCTGAGCTCTTTCACTGAAAACAGTGGCCTTCTGCTGCTGGAAATGTGGTTGATGAGAGAGGCGAGAGTGAACCCATACAGCCAAGTTGTGGACCATGCAGCTTAGTGATTTTTTTAAAAAAGGGGGAAAAAACTGCATGGTGAAGAAAACGTTATTCATTATTTAGACTATCCCGTATAGCAGACAAATAATCACGTGATTCATTACTAATATAAAAACATTGATTAAAAGGGGTGTAATGGTACACAAAATTCACAGGTCAGTTTATACCCTACTATGTTGCTACACACTATCTTTACTATGTTTCTCTTCTTGGCTGTTGAGGCTGACCAGGAACCCACAGACGGGTCTTCCAGCTCATTTGTACTTGCCGTCGTTCGACTGACTCACACGCCTATCCCGTTGTTGTGTTAACCTCTGAATATGTTGTTACTTGCACTTCCACATTGTTCCACATACGTACATCGATACGTGCGTCAATCTACATGCGGCGTTTTCTGCGTGTGGCTGCGTGCCCTGGAACCGCACTGGAACGCTTGGTGCGAATACACAAACACCCCTGATGATTAGCGCAGATTTGAATATGTGCAACACATGCAAATTATATTTACAGGATATATTTATACATTTTTGGTGGGCAAAAAAAATTAATTTACCTTGTAAAATAACGATAAAAGGATTTGAGTGGAAATAGACCATGTTTGAATTAATTCTTCCTCTGTGCAGGCTTTTAGAAGCTAGGCGGCCAGTGTGAAAAGAGATTATATCAGACTATTGCTTGAGTACTGTGTTACCAGTACTGATACCTCTGTATAATACTTGACAGCCTCTCTGTTAAATATTTTAATCATAAATACCCCAACCACCACAGTGTCCCCATTAACGCTGCTCTAATACATTACCATTTCCCCTACATCTAGGACACGCATAATCCTGGTTTTCTTTCAACCATTCCAATTTTTAGTGCAAGTACCTCACACGGCCGGCTAATGAAAACACATCAAGAACGTACACGTCGACGAGAATGGGGCTAAGGGAGAGCAGAAGGGAGAAACCAAGGCGTAACGTGATGGTGAAAGGGAAAAAGGTAGAAAGACTGAGGAGAGGTGAAAGCGAAAAAGCATTTCAGAGCATATTAGCACCTTTATTTAACGATGAGTAGCTCTATTTGCATGCAAAGTATCCAAACCCTGGCAGCAGAGGGTCAATGTCTCTGTACAACCAGCAACCAATTCCACATCACAGGCATTCCTCACATCTCTTGTCGGCCTCAAACGGTTTCCTCTTCTCTTGTAAGCTGCTGTTATTTCGTCTGACACGACTCTGTATCAGAACTGTATCAGTCCTCATTAGGGCTTTGCTGACGACACTAGACATCTTTGATTGATTGGCTGGTGATTCATTATCTGTGTTATCTGAGTTGGCCACAGTGATGGTCATTATGAGATGGCTTTAATGGAGTCCAGGGAGACATAGCACCCTCCACACCTAAACCGCCACCCCCACCCCCACCCCCACCTTTTCGGCAGCTAAATGATCTCTTAATGACTTTGTTTAGGAAATTACCCACCTAAACACCCATAATCAAATTGATCTGGGGCTGTGGAAACAGACAAATTAACAAGTCTGCGTAAATCCTGTTTAAGCGAATGGAGCATGGTGATGAGTTCAGGAGTTCTGTTTCATTAATGGCGATGAAAAAATAGTCAGAGGGGATGGGATATAAGTGCTCAGACGGATGTTTCACTTGACCTGCGATTGTTTGCATTTTCTTCTCCACCGTCGTCACTTGTCATCCGTATTGACGTGGCTCCCAAATAAGACCGTTGGAATGCCACCGGAAATCCAGCTCAGTCCCTGAATATGTTTGTCACAACACTGGAAACAATAGTTTCGTTAAATCCCACACAGTGTGCCAGCTTCAAAATGACTTCAGTGACATCTACTGCCATTTCAATTTAAAAAAAACAAAACGTAGTGCTATAGCACCCTGGGGTTGAATATTTTGGTTTAGTGTCTCCTCCAAATGGGGAAATGTACATGTGACTTGCAGTATGCCTTGTTCAATGATAATGGTGTAAAACTGTACAGCTTGTGCCATGCAGCGAGGCTTCGGAATGGACTTGGCTGCAGCCATTTGTCATAATTACAGCGATGCTTTGGCTCTGAACCATTTGAGGACCCACACACACAACACACATAGACACCCACACACACCCACACACACACACACACACACACACTCTTATACTTGTATATCTACTTATTCTGCTGTCCCATGAAATTGTATAGCCCAGGGTGTCTAATTATACTAATCGAATGCATACCGCCTGACATTTATTCATACATTATTAATAGCTGAAACAATAGAATCTGTGATTGGATATAGTGACTTACTGACTTCTCATCTTCTCTCTCTCTCTCTCTCTCTCGCTCTCTCTTTCCCCTATGACCTCCTTTCTTCTCTTGGTGACTTTCCCCTTCACCTCCTGTAATTTTGCTTGTGGGTGTTGAGTAATTAGCATGCCACCCACTTTACTTCTGATGTCAAAGATGGGAATGTGAGAAATGTCCCATAAAGATTATGTGTCCTGATAAGGTTATGGCTGGGACTCCATTAAAGAGATGGGCTGCACAATGGCTGTTTGTATCCTTCGGGGGGAGAGAGATGGAGGGAGAGAGAGAGAGAGAGAGAGAGAGACTGAAAACTACTCAAAGAGTTACATACTGCAGTGTTGCTACAGCATACAGTGATATTTTACTCAATAGTGTACTTCCAAATTGTTAGAACTTCTATTGACGGTTTTTCTGTTTCAACAGGAAAAAGACCCTGTGCACAAGGTTTAATCATAATTCATGTTTTATTGTAATAACAAAATGCAACAAACCTCTTGTAATCTTTGCCAGTGAAGCTCTTAAACCCACAATACAGTTCAGTGGACTTGAACTGAACTGAAAAGACATGAAAAGAGTCTCGACACAGACAGGAATGGTGCATAGGGGATGCTGTATGTTCTCCTGTTTGTTTTTGCATCCTTTTGCACATTGTGCATCTGTGACCACAGTAAGTTGCTGAAGAGTTTTGCGTAAAGAAATCCAACCTTGAGTATTCAAATTTGAGATGTTGCAATTGTGCATGACTGAAAGAAATGTTTTGTGTTTGCAGCAGTGGGGATGGAATACCTCTCCGCTTGATTTCCAAAACAAATTGCCCTGTGTTGCATTCAGTGTTAAGATGACAACAAGATGAAAATCGAGTTATGGGGTTTTGTAAATTATGTGTTTGTGAAACACAGTTCCATGCCAGGCTGGTATGGAGAGGGAAGCATTGTTAGATAATTACAGATGAGTCAGAGCTCAAGATAATAACAACTTGAATAATAGTGCCTGTTGGATGCACATTGAATTCCAACCGCACACATGCAAAAGCAGCCAAATTGAAGTAACAACACGCAGAGTAGCGGCCCGCCAGTCATGCCTGCTGAGGTTTGTGGCTGCAGTCGATGTAGGAGCTTTACTCCAAGGAAGAGTGCTCAATACATTGTCTAGATGTATCGTGGAGGTAACTAAATTTGGGTATCATTTATATTTCCACATGAATCACATCCGAGACCCCGCATGTGCCTCTGTAGCGCCTGATGAAAAATACCAACAGTTTAGCTCTGCCGTCAGAGAGGTGATTTGTGGCCCTGGCAAGCATTTCATTTAAGTAAACCACCACTTCTCCCCCTCTCTCAGCCTCTTTCATATCCTGGATAATGCTCGATGTCTGGAGTGTTATTGAGCCTTTCACTCACTCTCTCCCTATGCAGATTTTCCATTCATCTATAGGCCACATTGCCCTCGGTCTTGCCCAAGATCTCGCTTCTTTGCGTCCGTCACATTCCTCTCAGATGTGTCATGTAGGTGGTACGATGCTCGATGTGGTCGTGTTGTGCCACAGTGATCTGGCTGCATTCAGAGCTGACTGGACACTTCTCCCTCAGCGGATGACTTAATCCCTCGCTCCGAGCAGCTATTTCTCTTCCCTCACATCAGGGCGTAGAGACAGAGATGCTGTGGGAATATAAAGACAGAGCTTCAGTCAAGAAAACCAGTCAGTCAGTCAGTCAGTCAGTTAGACATTCTGTGAGTGAATGTCCCTCTGTCTCTCTGTATGTTGATTTGTCTCACTCCTCTGCCTCATTTAGCAACAACTCACTCCCTTTTTCTCCTTTTTTTGTCTTTTTCTTAATTCCCACAGACTCCGCCGTGGTGTTGCTATGGCGACCGTGGCCCCTCCCTTATTCCTGCTGTGTTGGCTGCTCCGAACAGCGAGCTCGGCGTTCCCAGAGGAACCGGGGCCCCTCAACTTCATCCCCACTGAAGGTATACTGACCTCCCGACTTTTCTCGCCCTCTAGCCGCCTACTCCCCTGCCGTGCCTCCCTCCCAGGTCGTGATGTGTGAGGTGTGGGATCGTGCCCTAACAGGCAGGGTGTTGAATAGGGGGGGGGGGGGGGGGGGCATGGAGGAGGCTTACGGTCACGGTGTGGGGTGTGGAGGTCAGAAAAGCTCTCACACGAATGGTGTTGACTGGTGTCCCGAGCAGGAGGTGTGGGGTCGCACTCAGGAATGAGACCAGAGTGTAGGAAGGGGCTCCAGCGTTCGTGACTTTCCCACACACACACACACACACACACACACACACACACACACACACACACACACACACACACACACACTCAGACCCTCAAGAGACGCTACTTCTAACACACTCAGACTTTGAGTCTCCGTATCAGCTTGGCAGACCCGACCTTGATTGATTGCAGTTCAATATTATTGATTGATGGTTTCCCAGCTGAGTCCAGAACCTTTCTCGACGTATCAATACCGTACAGAAGAGTTTAGCGGTACACTGGAGCGGCTGTGTTTGTCTCAGCAGGTTTGCAGCAAGCAGGTCCAAGCTTTAGCAGAAAATACAGGCTTACAAGTAGAGGAAGGTGTGGAGGTGGACAGAGATTCACAGTGGGTCTCAGGACGGGTTGACGTAGATACTATAGGAAGGAATTACAGGATAGAAATAAAGCAGAAGCACAATAAGAGGTGAATAAGAGGAGGAAAGAGATGCATGGACTAGAGGGTGAGATTTAAAGAGGTAATGATGAAAGAGCAGAGAGAAGATGAGAGGATATCTGACAAAAAGTTCCCCCATTCATCTCAGTCAAGGTCAAAGACTGGTATGTAATCCATCTGATTTGTATGTGATTTCTCCTTCTCTCTCCATTTTCTTTTATTTTTCTCTGTGTTTTTGCACATCTGCGAGAACACATGTTGAAAATGCCAAACCCCTTTACGTTTGATTTCTCTCCCTTAAGGTCTCCCTTCCTCATCCTCCGAAACACTTTGAACATTTTGTTTTACCCTTTTTTGATGTTTTTGAAAAAAGTCACCTGTCTCTTCGTGTCTCTCTTTTTGAGTTATCTGAATCTCTTGGCAGAACATGTCTTTGCGAACTTGTCAACAAAAAGCAGAAGCAAATGAACAATTTATCAAAAGTGAGTTCCAATCAGTCAGCGAAAGACAACTCATGAATATAACGGTGACATATGAGGTATAGTTCAGACATCCATCATTTTCAGAAGATTGTTTTTTTCTTGTATCTCAGTCTGCGCTCTGCTCTGTGTCTTTGTGTGCTTAATGTAGTAGATATGGTGCTGTTGTAAATGCAAGTCTTTGTCACCTTGGATACCTGTTACTGCTGTAGAACTGTCAAAACAAACTGAACAGAAAACCAATTGTATGATCACTTTTGTCAAAGAAGGATGTCAGTTTGGGAATGAGCCATAATCTGTCTCTGTCTCTCATTCACCAACAGTGGTGAGAAGACACCCGGTGTTCCTGGGCCGACCCCATCGGACATGGCTGAGACAAGAGCCTCTACACATCCAGAGGATCCTGCAAGTCAATCGGACGCTCTACATCGGAGCCAGGTACAACACACACAGACATACTGTTAAACTTATAGTGTCAGCAGTTCATTTATGGCTTTATCTACAGTAAGAATACACTTTAAGCAATCAGGGACCTGTGATGTGCCTTTTATTGCCTGCATCACACTAGTACAATATACAAGTACAATTATAGCTCCATCGGGGCAATTTTAAGCTTTAATATCTGTTGGACTGTCTGTTATCACTGCATTTGTTGCCAAGCAACATTTGCCACTCATTGGACATTATTTTAGGATCAGTATTCTAGCTGGGGGTATTTGCTCCTTGTTGAATGTAATAATTGTGCCAGTTCCAACACTTTGGTCAGTGTTTCAACATTCTAACTGTAAACAGGTTGACACATGATATTAGCATTCAGCTGTGGCTTAGTACTGCTGGGGATAGCTATGGACTGTTTCCGGTGTTTGAGGAGATTTCATTGAAAAGTATTGATTTCTCTTTTTGCTGTTTTGCCGTTGTATTGGGACAAGGCCTTAACAAACCTTGCATTATTTAAAGTTACTATGAGGAACTTTTAACCAGTTGTGAATCAGTCTCTATATGACCCACATAAATGATTAATGGTAAATGGACTTTGTATAGTCTAGTTGTGGTGTAGTCTCTCGACCACTCAAAGCACTTTGCAGTACTGTCAATATTCACTATTTCACACACACATTCGTACACTGATGGCAGAGGCTGCCATGCAAGGTGCCACCTGCCCATCAGGATCTAATCAGAAAATTCCTTTATACGCGTTTACACATTGATGGCACGGCCTTCTGGGACAATTTGGGGTTCAGTATCTTGCCCAAGGACACTTCAACATGCGGACTGGAGGAGCTTGGGATCAAAACGCAGATCGCTGATCTTCCTTATGCCCACAGATGCCATGGCACTGGCCACTGGCATAACTTTGTTGTTGGCTATTACTAGCACAAGTTCCAAAATTTGTTGTGAACACTTTGTAAAAACGAATACGCGACTTATGTAAGCTATAGCCACAGGACATAGGTTATTCTTGGTAACAAATCTGTTACAGTAGCTCCATTTGAAGGCTGATATGCGTCCTGACAAATGTTTTCTGGTTTGGTCTTCACATGATGCTAGTCCCCACCTGCCTGTCATTCTGGTGAATGTGCTGACACTGGACAGACACAAGCACCTGGTGGTCAGGAGGCCAGACGAGGACGGCCTGCTCAGCTGCACCGGGCTTACACTGTAAAGCTACATCTGCTGCTCCCCGGCCCCTTTCAGGAGCCGACCTGAAACAGACAGAACTCACAAAAAACATACACCTCAAGATTTACTGCCCGTGTTGTCCAACAAAATGTGTAATTTTTCACATAAGGTGCTGGTTATTTGCTGTAGTGGTAGTCTGAAGAAGACTGAAAAGGTTTAGACAAGAGACGCCACTGTGGTCCAGGAAATGACCCAGTGCCTGGCCTCCAGCTGGTCTAACCTCACTACTGAGAGCTGGTAGTAAATATATCAAACTATGTAACAAGGCTACAGCCATTTTGTCTGCACTGAGAGGCTCTATAAGCACACACATGCACACAGCCTGATAGTAAAACTGCACAGAGACAACTATACTGCAGTCTGCAGGTCGGCTTTAAAATATAACGAGAGCCATGAAGCAGTCTGAGAGACGCTAATTTCAATTTACAGCTGCAGAACATTTTGACTGAAAAGCAGAGGTAAACTGATATGAATGTCTGAGCCAACCGGATAATAATGAAATGCTAGACTGACAAGCGGAAAGACGAGAAAGGCGAGGGAGGTTCTCGGCAGCATGAGAGATTCACAGAAAGAGTGTTTACCAGAGTATATTTATATATTTCTTGTACGTGGCTAATAGTGTTTTGCAGCTTCCTGAGAGAAAGTTATCTGCCCAGAAAGACACAGATCCCTGTTCAAATGCTTGTGTGAGCCAGAGACAACCCAGCAGGGAGGAAGAGTTTTAAAATGTGTTATATATAAATAAGTACCTGTGAGGCGCCAGGTATGACTGCCAAAAGCTCCTACGGAGTGCATGGCCTGATAAGACGCCTCGCTCATCCCCAAATCCTGTCACCATTAGCATAGCTGCTCCTCAGACTGCAAGCGCTGCTAAATCCCTGCCCCCAAGCACCTGCTGAGAGCAGCTACCTCTCCCTGTCCTCTTCCCATCCTTGCTAAATGAAAGTAAACTGTGTATTTGGCTGGTGGCTGGTGGAGTAAAGCGCCTTGCTGTGTTAAGCCCCATTTCATCGCTGCCCAGATGAGCAGCTGTGGATCCTGTGGTCTTCAGACGCACCCAAAAGGGCTAATCCACACAAATATAAACCAATTGGAGAGTGTTTATCTATTGACAAGATGACCAAAGGAACGAAGCCAACTCTTGATTAACTGTTCCATTCGTGATAAAGCGGAAGAGGGTTTTACCATCTGGCTCGATGCGTGTATGTGTGTATGTTTGCATTAGGTGGAAAGGAAAGCGTGTTGACTTACTGCCAGGTTGGTTGTTGCTCCGTTTATTAGCACACAGACACTGACCTCAGAGGTCACGGGGGGTCACCCGGCGGTCCCAGCCGGGTCAAATGCCTCATCACAGACGGACGGGGAGATGCTCACTAGTGGCGAACACTGGCAAGCTGCCGGGCTGTTTAACATGCAGACGAGGACAAGTATGTGGGAGAGACACCCACATGGACACATACCGCTCTGGACTGATCTTCAAAAGATACTGTTTGGAAGTTGGCGTTCAACAAGTTTGTGCACTTTAATCTACAACTTTGTAAAGCTGCTGTTTTAAAGTTAGGAAATTGAACTAGGACTGCAACCAATGGTTACTTTCATTATCAATAAATCTAGCTACTATTTTCATGACTTACCTTTTAGGCACTTGGCCTATGATACTGTAGATCAGTGTGAGGAACAGAGCTGGTAGGCATAAGAAGTCACAGGTTGCCTTTCAAAAGGTGGGTTTTCTCTACCCAAATGTGCAGGAATTTCTAGATATTTGTATTTTTTTGAATTTTGAAATACTTACTACTTAAAAAAGTCTACTACTTAATGTAGTCGCCTATGATATCCTTTTTTAAGTGGTTGTTGCAGATGATGGGTGAAAAAGGTCTTTGACCAAAACGCAGCTCTTAGTTGGAACTAGTTGGATTTTTCTACACGCACTATTTTAGTTTTGAGTGAACTGACATTTTTACTTGTCAGAATATAGTATATTATATTGAACTCGGACACGGATACTCTCTCAGGCACATGTTTACAGGCACCCAAATACATGCAAACTCACACACTAGTATTCCACATTCTGCTCTCCCTCAGTCAGAAGAAGTGTCAGGGTAACTAGGTGGTCAGCTCAAAACTTTTCCATTTCATTTTCATCCAGTGGAGCCGCTTTTCCTGCACACTATTTGCAGACTCAGAAAGGCTCAACGCTGCTCACACTAAACCCCAATACGGCTGCTAGCAAGAAGAGTAGGAAGACTAACACGAAATAGAGGCTTAAGATGTCTTGGCCTTGAGTCTGCTGTTGTTTGGACGGTCAAAATGAGAAAGTTCATGAGCTGGTCAAGTCTTAAATTTTAGGAAATGTTGACAGTTTCTCTTCAGATTCTGTGTTGACTTTGTATTAGCCAGGTCAGAAAAAGGGTCGGAGGCATTAATGAAATAACAGCTCAGGCAGGCGCACATCCTACACACCCATACACAATCACACACACGGCCAGTCAAAGAGAAAGAAATAGGAGACTTTTGATTTGTAGGTTCAAGGGCTGGATTTTGTGAGTCGAGGCGCCTTTGGGAGTTATGACCTAATGAATCGAGGCTATTGATGGCAGCATGCACATCCAGCAACATAAAGAATAATGACATTTTACACAGTTCACATGTTTGTCCTTACCCCAACCTTCTACCACATGCTGTGCACATTAAATCCATTAACACACACATAAACAAACAAAAACATACAGGCCACAGGCTTTGCATCATTCAAACAACCTGGAAGGCAAGAGATGCAGAGGGAAAGAGAAGCAGCAGCATAAATAATTCCCCCTCCTCTGCACTATCAGAGGCAACAGCACTGGCTGCCATCCACTCTGACTAGGAGGCCTGTTGCTATATTCATTATGTTAATGCTGAAACAGCCTGGATGAGATTATCCCTCTCACCATGGCCCACTCCACTGTTTGGAGAATGCTTAAACTCTGACCTTTTAAGCAGGGACGCACCGAGCAAGTGTTTGGTGATTTTGCACTTCTTCGCCACTTAGCCCTCCGTGCTTTTCTGCAAGGTTGAGTCAGAGTGGGGATCTTCTAAAACACCAGCAGGAAGTGAGGATGAATTATTCAGGATCGGAGCAACCTGGTGGCACTTGGCCTACCTGTGCTCTCATCATGCGCGCATTCTCACAGATCGTAGAAAAGCAGATGCAAACACGCATTGATATACACACACTTAGGTGATACAAATACTCACATGAGCATGATAACACATGATAACCCCGGCCTCTATGAAAGAAAGAAGAGAAACCAAGACAACATGCAGCACTGGGAGGCAGAGCAAGGATGAGAGATGGGATCGATACTGCCGCAATAACACGGCTATGGCAGATTTACAGATTAGCCCGTTCAGAGCTCGGCCCTTTGCTAAAATGAAGCCCATGCTTCAGTCCCGGCCCAGCAGATACCGAGGCCTTGATATGCACATACATATATGCACACTTCAGATGTTACTAGCAGCCTAGGCCAATTTAGCTGCCATTTTCACAGGAACATCCAAGGTTACTGCAAAATTACCAGCAGATTAAGAGTACGAGAAAGCAGTGTGTGGAACATCATGAATGCATGCGTGTTGTTATGTTCAGGACCACGTGTAGGCAGCATGTGGGGGTGTGCAAACATCAGTGTAACAACTTGATTAAATCATCCAATAATTCAATTTCAGGCTTTTTGAATAAGACTGATAAGCTGAATTCTGGCGCCTAGGAGCAAATTTAATGCAGCAAGTAGAGTTTAATGAGAAGAAGCAAAAAGCAAAGGGGAAATACGAGACATCATTATGCAGCAGGTACCCATTTCTCATATATATTGGGAAAAAAATGGAAGACATTGTAAAGCTGTTCCCTAATCTCTGAGGGTCTGATCAAGTGTAAACGAATAAAAGTCTCTAATAAAAATGTATTATAGCCGCATCCGCGGAATTATTTAGTGTAAAACCACACTGATTTAATATATAGTGGAAATATTCATACACAGAGTTTGAATTAAGTGTGTTGCCTGGATTTCATCCTAAAGAAAGTCTGCATGGACCTGCACTATCCTGAGCGAGCAATGATATCTGTGCTGTCCTTGTGCTGTGGAACTGGCATTCATGGTTTGCTTAGTGCAGCGTCTTCCCTTACCGTAAGCTTTGGATAGTGCTGCGTTGGCTGACTGCCACTCTTTCTCTATATCCCTCTCTTCTTCCTCCCGCCAGGGATGACCTTTTCCGCGTGGAGTTGGACATCGTCGCAGGAGACGAGATGTTCTACAGCAAGGTGAGCACCTTCGGGACAGATACCCATAGCATTTACAACCTTGAGGCGGACGTAGAGAAATGCAAATGTAGCTAACAAAGCAGTGCATGTTTTTTTTTGTTATATATAGAAAAGGACGTGGGAGTCAAACAAGAATGACATCAGGATCTGCAGGATGAAGGGCAAACATGAGGTGAGACGGTGTCTGCTTCTCCATCTTTTCTTTCTCTTTAAAACGAGGCAAAGCTAATTTATTAATCAAGCATGTTTCAGCAACAAGGCTGTTCAACAGCTTTACATAAAACATCAAGAGATAAGGTGCAAAAGAAACACATTATAAAAGGACATTTATTAAAAACAGTCATTAAAAATTCAGGAGACTGGAATATGAAAACAAGCCAAAATAGATTAAGACGGGTATAAAATACAAGAATAAAAGTTACAGTGCAGTGTGAGAAATGATTTCATAAAAGGCAGCGGCAAACAGAAACAGTCTTCTGCCTTGATTTATTATAAGTGAGGGTTGCAGCTGGCCTGCATTTTTGTTCTGGATACATGGAGCATAAAAACTGAACGTTGCTTCTCCGTGTTTAGTTTTTGACTCTGGGGACAGAAAGCAGACCTGCGAGAGGTCTGGATGGTTCATAACAGAGCAGAAGATCAGTATTTGTGGCCCAAACCATTAAGAGCCAACAGGAAGCCAGTGTCCAGACCTTGTCTGTCAATTTGTTCTTAATGAACAATATATTGAGGTCCTGGATGGACCCCAGTTAAGAGACCCAAACCAGCACATGCAGTTTGAATAGATGGATAATTGTTTTGTTTGTTTTCAGATGGTATTAATAACATCATTAATGTTAGAAAAATTTACAATGTTCATTACAGTTTATTCTTGGGGTCCCCGGGGACCCCAGTCTGTATTCCTTGTATATTAGACATGCCGGTAGGATGAGGGTTAAAATACCAGCGACAGTACAAAAACTCTTCATTTATAGATTTGAGTTTTTTTTAGCTGTTCATTTGCATTTTCACTTTCTTTTCCTGGAGGCATTTTCTGAGTTGTTTATCAGAATAGCTTAAATCCTTCAGCTCCCCAAAACAATTCTGGGGTTTCGTCAAAAATATCAGAAGCAAAGATAATGTGCAAAATAATTCCAGATCAAATGTATTCGATGACATTTGGTTGCGTGAAATATGTTGAAGGCATGTCAGAGCTCTCTTTCTTACGCACATGTCTTCCCTTTCTGCCTGGAGCTCTGGTTTCATTGTGCCAGTCATCTGACTGTCATGCCTGCTGGCTCAGCCTCAAGATGAGGACGGCTCTGACCGCGTATCATCTCATTGTCCCCACTCATCTAACACACATACACACACACACACACACACACATCAATTGGAAGAATAGAGCCACTCCTACCTATACATCACTCGTTCCACCATCATGAGGTAGCAATGCGGCTGGTGCTCTCAGAAAATCCAGGTGGGCGTTGGGAAGCTGAGGCGGCGAAGAAGTGATGGGGTGAAACGTCCCAGCAGCCACCAGCAGCCCACGCCTGAATACCTCTTATATCTCCAACACACACATCCCCTAGCTGCCACACGTAAACAGCCCGTATTCAGTGTGTGTGTGTGTGTGTGTGTGTGTGTGTGGGTGTGTGGGTGAGTGAGGTGGTGACGGTTGGCGGGGGAAACATGGGCTCTGTCGCCTCCAGAGCAAAAAAAAAAAAAAGACTTATTTAATACAGTGAGAGAACACCTGACATTAAATCTGTGTGAGACAGTGCCAGACAGAAACACAATGGAGAGTAGAGGGACGGTGACAAAAAGCTCGGTCCAGAGGAGGAGAGGAGAGGGGAGGAGGAGGAGGAGGAGGAGGAGGAGGAGGAGGAAGAGAGAGACGGAGAGGTGAGAGAGAAGAGATAAAGGAGAGGAGAGGGGGAGTGTGTGGGTCCTTGTTGGCCGGCCCAGAGGAGAGCTGTGGGGCTGACTGAGATATGAAAGGTCCTCTTGCCCCTAATGAGTGTGCTGCCTGGTAAGGCTGTGAGTCACACGGCAATGTGAGGGAGATAAGAACACTGCCAGGTCTTCTCAGTCAGCTCTCTGGGCCCAGACGCATATGAATGGGTGTACACACGAGCACATTCAGTCACACACTTACACACGCACACACGATCAACTGATATGGATTCCTGAAAGCCGCCACGATTAGTATGTGACTGAAAAAGCAATTATTTTCATTCCAAATATCAGGTGATGAAACATTTGGAGCTGTACACATTGGCAATTTAATGTGACCCTGTACAACAACAAAGTACCGCCTCCAAAATGAAACAATCGGTTAAAAAAATGCGACATTTTAAAGGAACCCTGTGGACTTTTGGTCTCAACAAAGTTTACATTCAGTGTTTCTCACCAAGGAAGCATCGTGGTCAATGCATTTCCTTTCTCATAAAACGTTTATGTTTTCTTGGTACATCACAGCCACCTGTCATTCCGTGGAATAGTGTGGAGACAGGAATGCGTACGGTGTCCCTCACAATGCTTGTGCACATGCACGTGCATCCTCGTGCACAATGCGCAATTCAGACGAATAGGTACCCACTAATCAAGCAGTGCTCCGTAGCACTATCAAAACACCACAGGGTTCCTTTAAGCTTCATAAATGTAGGATCATTATTGTGATAGATATTGTGGTGTAGTACATTTTATGGAAATTCAATTGAGGCACCATTGATAGGTAAATTAACTATATTTGAAAAAGCACTGGGCGATACTGCGAAAGTCAAATATTATGATATGTTAAAACAAGTACCTCAATATCAATACACAAACGCTTAAAGCTCGGGTTGGGTATCGTCCTCAAAAATGTAACAGAGCGTTTTCTTAAAAGCACCAAAATTTGTTTTACCAGCCTCAAAAAAAAAAGAATTGAAACAAAACAAAACACACTTTCAGATATATTCGGATGTTATGATAACCAAATGGTGTGAATATTATATCATGATATCAATAGCACAGTAGCTACTGTGCTTACTGCGGGGCTTTTCTATTAAAATGCATTAGATTACTGCAGGTGACCTGTTGCTGTTTTGCACATCATGTTGGAGGTCAAACAGACTGAATATTTAACCAAAGAACAATATCTATCTGACTCCGATGCGCGCATACACTCAACATGGAGGTGTAATCACCAACCCTCATGTATGTTCATACAGTACATATTCATGATTTCAAGTGGGTTTTCTGCTCTCTCTCTCTCTCTCTCTCTCTCTCTCTCTCTCTCTCTCTCTCTC